CTAGGGAGTGAACCGAACCGGTTTAAAGAACCGGTTCGGTTTGAAAAATGAACCGGTTTGTGCATGCCTACATCCAGCGGTGGTTGTGGATTCAAGCATTTGGGTTCACATACTTCCCTTCAAAGCTTTCACCTTTAATGGAAAGAAACACCCGATATGATATTTAAATTCATATAATAACGTTTTATACATATTGTAAACATAAAGATATAATAAATATTTTAAATATGTATATATATATATATATATATATATATATATATATATATATATATATATATATATATATACACACGTATAAATATGTATAAAAACGTTTTTATATATTTTTGGGCTAATATCGTAAAAGCCGTTAATTTTTTAAAAAATATTCGTTTTTATCATTAAGTTTTCAAGTTATGAGTAGGTGACATGTTGGTAACCAGGTAACCTGCTAAAATGGCAAAAATGAAAATTTTTACGCAAACTTCCAGCTTTAGTGAAGCCAAAAGACACTAAAGGGTAAAACCTAACATTTCTTGAAAACTTAAGGGCTTATATGACATTATTTAAAAACAAAACAAGAATAAATAACTTTTTCTTATAATCCGATAAATATATATCCATAATATATCTTACAATCCGATAAATATACATTGATAATATATAAGAAAATATATTGAAGGTATTTGGTCCGTTAGTTATTTAATCCAAGAGTGGTCATTTTATCAATAATGGCAACTAGATTTGACACCTAAATACAACAAAATAAAACCATGAGGACCAACTGTGTAACGTTTTCTAATGATTGCCCTCAACATGATGCTTTATAAACACCAAATGGACCAATAGTAAAATTTTATATAAATTTTTTAATAAATGCCCAACAAAATTCCTCACTAAAGACGGATTAGTGGTGTAATCGAGTTGAGCCAACTCATATACTCTGGATAGAATAAAAAATAATCGAAATTGACTCGGTTAAGTGAAAATGAACAACATTAAGTTGGCTAATGCCAAAATCCAAATCCAAGAACCATTGAAACAAAGAGATCCGGTTTACCTACAATATGAATAAAGTAGCTACTACTTGCACAGTTTTTAATACAAAGCTTACAACATCAGTCCTTCATTGAGTAGAGTCATGAGTTTAACCTCAGTCATACAATGTACCAAATAAGGGTAAAACTGTAACTTTGACTGAGCTCACGGACTTCAACAGCCAAGTAGTTTAATACTCGAGTTGCTCGAGCACTTGCTTGAGTCAGCTTCAAATCTTTTTGGGGCCAATATCGATTTGGTTTGTCTTGGGTTGATTACAAATCTAAGTTTGACATTTGAAGAAGCCTTGTGAAAGTTTGAGACTTGATTCATAGTCTCCAATGACTTTTCATGGAACTTGGCTTCATCAACCCAAATGAAAACCATTTCCTCCAATGCACTTCCATTCTCCAATAAGGCACGTGCTAAAGCTAGATGTTCTTCATCATAATCATGAAACTCCACCTTTTTAAGAAGAGGAGTCACGAAGTTGATTGTTGCAGCATTTTTTAATTTGCACTTGTCCGCTCGATAAAAACACTAGATCATCAAACAAAAGCACAAGTTTTTCATGTTGAGATGCCAAAATCCAAACTAGTTTTGAATTATTGAAAAATGTATTTATAGGCTTACTGATACATTAAACCCATTGAGCTAACTTTTTTTTTTTATTTTACTGGTTTACTAAAATATAACCAGCTTGATTCATTTGTAGGTAAAAATGTGCAGCTATGAATATGTGAAAGTGAGCTACAAGCTTCAAGACTGTGAAACATAAAAAATACCTTTTCCATTGGGTCCAAAAGTGAGGATTCGTTTATAAAGATCAAATGAAGAGACTCTAAATCGGGAAAGCATTTGAGAAATGGGATGAGCCTATGCACTGCATCAACTGTTATCTCCAAAGTCTTGAGATTAGGTAGAGATACAGGCTCATCTTCTTCTGGCCAATAGCACTACCACAATCACAACAAGTCAAATTTTACAGGATATTAAATAGGCATCTAAGTACATACCCAAATGATAAAGATTCAATGAAAACCAATTTGTAACTAGGTAAAAAAGAAATACCACTTATGGGCTAAGCCTTTCACCCTTTTCATTGAGAGTTTGTGTAATTCATTTAACATTACACAACTAATTCGGTTACTGCATTTTCCATATGGTTATGATTTCCATAATTTGAAGATGTGTATATGGGACCCACATAACGGAAATGACATGACATGAAATTTAACACAAGGCAACCATTAGACAGCCTAATCTTTTGGCAAAGGGATGTCATTTTTCCACATATGTTTTTGATTCATCCACTTAAAAAAAAAAAGGTTTAATTGAAGAGAGAGCAAATCATAATGAAATGTATAAAAGTCAAAACAACTTTTTTTAAGTGAATGGATTAAAAACCTAAATAGAGCTGACAAGTGTTGGTTACACAGATGTTTAATATGGGTTGAAAAATAAAAAAAGAATATGCTCTATCATAACACAAAGATTTCAGAAGATGGAAAAAAAACAGTGCAATATATTTTAGCTGAAATGAAGAATTGTTTAAAAAGAGAATAAGCTACTACCTGTCCCACACAGTAAAGGCTGATGGACAGATTCCACTTCAGATATTCTTTCAAAAAAATCACAAGGGGGATCCAACTGATTAAGAAAGTCTCTACAGAGAATCACAGCTTTCTTCAAGGAGTACAGATTGTAGAGAATAAAATCACGAGATACAGAGCCAGTTAAGTTCAAAAGCACCAGTTTTGGGCAACAAATCGTAACACTTGAACTCATCCTACAATCTATGTAATCTTCTGTTTCATAATCAAAAACTCTTTCCCGGTTTTCAATTCTCAGATTCTTGAGCTTTGGACATGCAATAACAAGTTTATCAGCATAGCAGTGTAACAAACTCAAATCCTCAAGCAACGGGCAGCTTTCAAGAAAATATTTTACCAAATCACCCTTTTTTAACGTAACATCATTCAACTCAAGAACCCTAAGTGCAGAAAACCCTGTAATCTTAGGCAAACATAGATGATATCCGAGCAAACATAACCTTAACACTTCCAAAGAACCACAAGTCACCAGACAATAGGGCATCTCAATATCCTCAGACTCGTCTATTGGGCTAAACATCAAGTCAAGTAGTTTGACTTTTCTCACAACAGCAGCATGAATCCACTGCCTTATGGTCGTCATATCGTAGTAATCCGCACAACGTAAACGAAAACTATCCAAATCAATGGGTTTGTTTAGTAAAACCCAAGAAACAAAATTTTTGAATCCAATACTTTCCAATACCATTTGGGGATCGTGTTCTAGACCTCGGGTATAATCTATGTCTATGGAGGGAATTGAAGTCCACAAATACCTCCATCTGCTCGACAAAATGCTGCTTCTAATTGCCTCTTCTGTATTTGGAATACCTGAAAGAATCAATTGAAGAACACGATCTGGCAAGTTACTGATCAAATCAACCCCATCTAATGTCCTTGCTCGCTTGGATTCCTTCATCACTCTGTTACTTTGATGTGAATAAGAAATCATTCGGTAAGACATTTTATCAAACACCTTGTGAACAACAGGATAGTGCAGCTTCTACACGAGGCTAAAGGGGATAAGCTTGTAGACAAGATTGATCTCTCTTTCTCTATATGGTTTTACATATGTGAGATTTTCTACTACACCCCTTTACTAGATTAAGGGTTAATGTCATGATGATAATATGGCAACTAAGTATTTCAATTTTTTACATTCATGTCGTTGTATTTATAACTGTAAATCCTAAAGCATTAAACTTTCTAAGTATTTATAATTTTATATATTATCCCATATGAAAACTTTATGTTATGTTACATCTTAAAAATACAGTTTTTTTTTTTTTTTATTATTTTTTTTTTTGTGTGTGTGTATTATACTTTACTAATATTGCATTGAATAACAAAAATAAAACTGTATTATTTATAATAGCAAATATGACACTCGAGAAATTAAATAATTACTTTTTAGGTATAAACTGGACTTGAATCTCCATAAGTAAAGCTTGACTCTCACATGACGCAGTATTAAATACTTCCAATCAATATGAGCGTTATGAGAAGGTTAGAAGCTTCAAAAACTTCAAACAATACACACAAATAAAACAACTGAAAACTAAATCCTAGTAGTAGTTAACCTTCCGATTACGCCTTTACGCTGTGGCGACCTGCACAAAAAACCGGACCCAAAAAAAGTCCAAGACCGAACCGGTCTAAAATGAACCGGACCAAAAAAAAACTTGTCCTAAAAAAGATCGGACTGAAAAAAGACCGGCCTAAGACCGTTCGGGACCGATCCGAAAAAGATCGGACCATTTCGAGACCGACCTCGACGGGCCTGGCTATAAAGCCAGGTCCATTAAGATCTCGTTATCCAGAAAAATGATTTTTGCTCGCATAATAAAAACGTAAAAATAAAAATATCATAAATATGTAAGATATTATATAAAAGAGTACATAGTTTGTTCTTGTGGTTTTCTTATACTTATGCTGCCCGATATGGGCAACCATAAAAAACGTCATTGAAATGCCACATAGGCAAAAACCCTCCACCACATTTTTTTCAGGGCTGGTGTTCCAAACTTACAAGGTCATTGTGGGAGGAAGGGGAGAAGAAACTCATGTTGCCCTTCGTTACGATCACAACGCCAAGCCACATTACACACAAAAACGTGAGGCTAGGGCGGTGTTTGGGCCGTGGTAATGGCGTTTTCCGGCGTCATGTCACAAAAACAAGAGTGGGTGTTGCCCACACCAAGTCGTCTTATGGATCAGTCCAATTTTCCCTATTCTACTCGGACCATTTTTAGGGTATGTTTGGCAATAATCGGTAGTTGGAAACTGTAATTTTCATTTGTATAAAAGTGTTCGTCAAAAGACAGTTATAAGTTTTTAAAGGTGTAAATTACATAATATCACAAACTAATGCAACTTGAATAAGTTTTGAATTAGAAGATTTTTGTTTAAAATAAAAGTTTTAAACTCGTATTTTCAAACAAAATTTTCTTCTTTAATTCAAGCTTTTTCATATAAGCTAAAAAACTAATAGCTCATATAAAACTCTCAAAAGCTCGCTCCCAAACATGCCATAATCTATTATTTATTTTCATAGGACAATACAAACGAATCAAACATATTTTTTTTTTAAAACTTTGTACTGTAATCTTAAGTAGTTCTCATGCTGTAATACAAACTATGATACACAAACTACTTATTTTCCCTCATAAAGCCATCATTGGAGTATATTGAAGAAATAGTCCCTATGTCATAGCTGAAATCACAACGTTAGTCCAATTTTGAACATGGACAGTTCTCGTGGTTTATTTTGTTGCACTTTTGGTACTTATCACTAATTTTATTTGAAAGGTGAACTCAAATGTTTGTAGAAGAAAACCATTTCTAGAATTTCCTCTTACTCCAGAAAAATATTACGTGAACTCCAGTTTGTTGATTACCGTGTAATTCAGAAGATGACTGACATTTTTAATGTTTAGTTCTCCTA